GTTTAGATTCGTGTAGACGTTTAGCGAAAACAACAGTTCGAGTTTTTAACATGCACTTTAATTTTCGTGTGTTCGTTTGCATGCACTTAGGTGCATATAACTAATTTATAGCCAGCTTGGTACAGATTTGTTTACACGGTATGTAGCTAAAACTAATTAAAACTAATTAAGCAAATAAAAGCTTGGCATATTGCTGATCCCGAATACACAGAAACAGGTGAACTCTACTTCATTTGCCCGACGGACCGTCAGGTTCGAAAGGGAACTTATTTTTCTGCCTACCAAACTCGGAAACATAAAGATTTGTATCACTCTATCATGCGTTAAGCATCATATCAAATAAATCCCTTAGTGCCTGGGTGAGCATTTTGCACGTGCCATCAGACCAGCAGACCTATCCAACATTTTCACAGGCGTAGCGACACCGGGGGGGGGGGGTTACATATGTCCCCGGGCGCCGATCCTAGGGGCGCCAAAATAAGCTCATTTTAGCTGCTATTTTGAAATATAAATATAAAAAAATTATGGGGGCGGGGGTGGGGGTTGGGGGGGCTCCAAGTTGAACGTTTGTCCCCGGGCGCCGGGAGGGGTCGCTACGCCTCTGAATATTTTGACACTCACGCGGGAACGAAGGCGCTCTCTCGGAACGAGCTGCCGTCTGCCAGCACCCGCGTCCAACTATACTTGTCTCCAGCCGTCCTGTTTCTTTCGTGCTCGTCGAAACGACCTTGGCCTTTGTGCTCTTGTGAACTTCCGCCCTCACCTGCTTGGTCCTAAACAATGGTAAAGAAAAATTGATAGTCGGCTGTTATAATTTGAAAAGTGGGGTCGTCCATATATGGCATCACACTCGTAATTGGGGAGGGGGGGGGGGGGGGTCTGGAGGTAATTTGGTGAAGATGTGTAATGAGGGGTTGAGGTCAGAAAGTGTGACGTCACACTTTTGCATTATAAAAAGATTTTTTTTTTTTTTAAATAAGCCGTTGTTTCACGTTTTTGAAAACTGTTTTAATAAATTATAAAAAAAAATTGATGAAAACACTCTATGTTGACTGATCTTATTTTAGGAAAAAAAATAAAAAATCGATGTTTTAAGACATTTGTGGATGCCCCCTCCCCCTAAATGGAAAATGTTAGCGAAAGTAATTGGTTTCTCTAAAATGAGTAAACTGATGAACAGCCCCTCTACATTGATCAACATGTTCTAACAGTCCTGGAAAATATTTATCGATGCACTGGATATTAATAGTTTTAAATACCACACTATAAATAAATGTGTTACATAATTGTTTTGGGGTTGAAAATTTAAGTTTTTTAATCTTTCAAATTACCGTTATAAACGGCGTTGTAATGTCGATTAATGTTTACCGTATAAGTATATATTTTTATTTAAATTTTTGTATAAGTAAAGTACCATTCCGAACCTGACGGTGAAACAGGGTTCTCGAGTTCCTGCTACCTCGTCCTTTGAAAGAATAATGCCTCTTCCTTAACGGAAGTTGAATCTCTATTACATCAGGGAGGACGTCAGGGTACGTCTTATGGACTAGAAATCGTGATCCTAACTCTAGACTTTTGATATAGAAGTCGTACGCTCTACCACACAGCCCCACAATATTTTGTTTAGAAAAATTATAAAATACATACTTCAATAAACCGGGAGTGATCTCCCCTAAACTTTCTCGAATATTCTAATATAACACTACAGGGGATGGCAACTCGGGATATAGACTTCTAGACATGATTTTTAATCCATTTTAAATACTCACATTTCTTAAAATAGAATATAATCTCGTAGAAAAAAGAAATGCACACCAAGTGAACGCTAAATAAAAAAGCGCATAATAGTGCGCAATATTATTAGTACTTTATAAATTTACATGCGTTTTTTGAGAAATCGGAAATAGCGTAAATAAGTACTTCCGGTCAACGGAAATTACTCAAAATTTGACAGAAGGTAGAGAATTAGCTCTTTTACTTACATATCAAATTTCATTTATCTATCTGAAATAGTACTCAAGTTATAGGCTTTTGAAAAATTCAAAGTAGAAAAAGTACCACTTCCGGTTATCGGAATTCGCTCAAAAGTTGATACGGATCTACGATTTTGATAAAATACTTATATATGAAATTTCACCAGCCTAGCTGTAACGGTACTCAAGTTATCGTGTTTACACACGGACACACAGACACACAGACACACAGACACACAGACACACACACAGACATACGGACAAGATTGCAAAATTATGTTTTTCCGTATCAGTGAGGTGTAAAACGTCGAGATTTGTAAAAATCTCGATTTTTTTTTTTTGCACGATTACAATACTTTCTCTATACTACGTATATACGAGAAAGTAAAAAATGAAGTAAACTCACCTCAAAACCTAGCCCAACATCAGAAAAACTAACAACCAACAACGCAACGAAAACAACCACAACGCATTTTATTTCCATATTTTTCTGAAATCATAAACTTCAGAGAGATAATAAAGTTCCGCTCAGCAGAGTTGGAACCTACACCGAACCAGGTTTATATACTCCAGTGTATTCTATGAGAGCATTATTGATAGTATCGGACACTGATTATAGGATTATAGCTGCCTAGGATTATAGCTGTCTAGCTGAGTTTTAAGTCTGTTACGATTTTACAAAGCCAGGGTAGATAATACGATTTTAAACAATCATCTATTGTTTAATGTGCGTAACCCAAGATCGAAAAGATTATAATATATTTATATACAGGTTTATATTATATATATAGTTGATATATATGTTGATATATATGTTGATATATATGTTGATATATATGTTGATATATATATATATATATATATATATATATATATATATATATATATATATATATATATATATATATATATATATATATATATATATATATATATATATATATATATATATATATATATATATATATATTGCGTGTTAGTTACATTATGTGTGCTAAGTTAAAGATTTTCTCTGCTATTTCTACTGGTTTCTCTAAAAAGAGTAAACTGAAGATCAACCCCTCCACATTGATCAATATGTTCTAACAGTCCTTGAAAATGTTCATCGCAGAGGCGTAGCGACCCTTCCCTTTTCGATTTGCACCCCATTCAAGATTTCGATTTGCACCCCCCCCCCCCTTCTCAAGATTTCGATTTGCACCCCCATCTTCAAACTTTCGATTTGCACCCCCCCCCCCCCCTCAAGATTTCGATTTGCACCCCCCTTAACCTTTCAATTTATATTTCCAACCCATGTTGGCGCCCCTAAGGTCGGCGCCCTGGGACATATGTCGCCCCCCTCCCCCCCCTCGCTACGCTACTGGTTCGTCGTTGCACTGGATATTAACTGTTTGCTTTTAAACCCACTCAACGCTTGTTTACAGGTGGCTGTACGGAGTTACTCGGTAAAGAACGCCATCACTACAAACTATTGCCTCGTTTTGGATACTGCCATCACTACAAACCATTGCCTCGTTTTGGATACTGCCATCACTACAAACCATTGCCTCGTTTTGGATACTGCCATCACTACAAACCATTGCCTCGTTTTGGATACTCCCATCACTACAAACCATTGCCTCGTTTTGGATACTGCCATCACTACAAACCATTGCCTCGTTTTGGATACTCCCTTCACTACAAACCATTGCCTCGTTTTGGATACTGCCATCACTACAAACCATTGCCTCGCTTTGGGTACTGTTTCTAATAGTGACGTACTGAATGGCATAATTACATAGTGATTATAGAGCGTCAGGAAACATATTTCCTACATCGATCCTGCTTTATCCGTATTGATTTATCTACAGCCTACGTGACGTCATGAGCCTGTGTGGCCAATTGATTTCAGTTTCCGTGATCACGTGCCACAGCGTACAAGACAAGGGACACTAACCGCTTTAAACCAGATACTGGACGTAAGTCATTTGAAACTAAACGAGGGATAAAACAAACTCATATCAGAAAAGGGATATAAACTACATCATATAAGTCAAGGGACGTAACCAATATCACGTAAATGCATAAATTTCACTATATAAACCAAATGCTATAACCCATATGAGATCAGAACTTTAAATAACACTATATAAACCAGGGGACTAAACAGATTTGACATAAAGGGACATATATACACAAATTACGTCATACATGTAAAAAACACAAGACCCATATCTGATACTGATAGGAAAAGGGACATTAGTTACATTAGATACATCAAGGGACATAACACATCAGGGTAAGTGCAGTACACAAGGGACATAATCCTAAAGAATTAGCCTGTACCACATACCAACACAGACCCCGTGCCTAAAACATCTCTCACGTGACTAACCTGCACCCAATGCAGAAAGTGCACCCTGACCTGATCGTACCCCAACCACGGGTCTATAATCAATAACACGTGACCACCTCGCTTGATCGAACTCTCTGGAACCATCCGAGTCTAAGAAATCTATTTTTATCTGAGTTCGACACGATCCTTGGCGGAGAGTCAACATCGAGGGGGTCGTCTGCTGTGCTTGTCTGATTAAAGCAGAACAATGGAGCCATTCTTGTAAGTAACGGGCCCTACACGCTTCTGGCACAAGATATGTAACAAATGTAAGCAGTAATTTACAAGTTACAAAGTTTATGATTTGAAAAAGTAATAATAAGTCAACATTGTGTGAATTTATATCGAGAAGATTTTTAACTAAACAATTTTTATTTTGTGAATAGTTCTTACATAACGTTTACGTTTTTTTCTGTAAACAAGACTTAACGAAACAATTTTTATTTTGTAGTTAGTTCTTATAAAAGGTTAATTTGTTCTCCGTGAACAAGACTTAACGAAACAATTTTTATTTTGTGACTATTAATTACAAAAGGTTAATGTGTTCTCTGTGAACAAGACTTAACGAAACAATTATTTTGTTATTAGTACTTAAAATAAATTATTTTCCTTTGTGAACAAGACTTAGTGAAACAATTATTATTTTGTGACTAATAATTTTAGAGGGGAAAAAGGCTAGCTAAGAACAAGACTTAACGAAACAATTATTTCCATTTCATTATTTTTTTTTATATTGTCATGTAGAAATGTAAAACAGACCACCAATACATGCACTCCAGTACAATCTTAGATCACATCTGCTCAACGATACCCACAGATGGTACTCACCCACAAGGTGTGTGAGTCACGTGATAAACAGATCAGGTTTAATTGTGCAGGAATTAATCTCTTAATCTCAGGTAAATGTAGATGGGTTTCAAGCGGATTAGGGACAGAAATTAGCTTTACATTGTATAATGAGAAAAAGCAGACAGTAAAAGAAAACCTTTTTATTGCTAGAATTATTTTTCATTAGACATGGCGTCGCTAGGTGGGGTGTCACAAGGTGAGGTAACCAGAACTTTTTCAGTCATCTCTCCTTGAGAAAGCGGGGGGTGGTGTGCTACGTAATAGAACTCGTCGTGTCGTCGTTTTCAATGTGTTCCTTTCAGGCATCCCCCACCCCACACACACACACACTGTAGCCCGTCTACCACTGTCCACCCTCATCCCCCCACCCCCACCTTCCTCAGAAAAATTAAAGCTGGCCCATCCACCGGAAATGTAAAGCTCTTCCCTCATTCGGAGAAAAAAATCCTTGAAAGAAACTCGAGGTGCAAGCTCTTTTCCTCTTTAGTGTGCCCCCCCCCCTTTCCCTCATCTTACAATACAAACGACCCCAATGAATTAATTGACACACTTTGTCAATCCTAATTTATTAGTTTTACAGGATAAAACACCGTTTCGTTGGAGATTTTTCGATTTGGTGTCACCCCCTAAATGGTGTCATCCCTAAATGGTGTCACTCAACACGGAACGACACCCCGCCACCTTGTTTTCACCATACCTATATGCCAACCAGTATGATATGTTAGTATTTTTTATCATTAATGCTGATACTACCATAAAAAAAAATAAAAAATGTGAATATCATTATCATAACTACTTAAGATTAGTGCTAACCACTTCGGTAAACCCCATTAAACCCATGTGGGGTCTCGCTTCATTTCATACTAAATCCGGGTGGAAAGGTCGTCTTCCTTTCCCCCCCCCCCCCCCCCCACCCACCCACCTCTCAGCCTTGTCATAAATACGTTCCTGAAAAATTCCAACTCAGCAAAATGACATTACCTTACCCTCCGTTTCAAAAGAATGACCTAGGCCTAGTTATGGGATGGAATTATTCCTACATACCGGACACGGCATGGGAAAAAAAAAAGTCGTAGGATTCTAAAAAGTTTTAAATAGCTATCATTTTTAATTTTTACCATCGCAAGAGTATATTGTTAGTTGTGACATCTTTGGGTTAGCAAAAATATAACAAAATCACAGTGGTTCTCAAAGTTGTAAAGAAACCTCTTTTCCTAACAAGTTTAGTAAATAAACTTGAAATCACATCGGTTTTCTAACTTGAAATCATAGTGGATCTGACAGAATTAAAAACAAACAGTATATTTTTCGTTGTAATTAAAATATATGCAGTGACAGTAAAGCAAAAACAAAATCATTTTCTGATTACCAATTATCAGTGGCGTCGCTAGGTCGGGTGTCATCCGGTGCGGTCCGCACCCTACGCCCCGCATCGCGACGCAGTGGCGTAGCCAGGATCGTCTCAAGGGGGGGGGGCTTCCAATTTTTACCCGGGGACAAACTTTCGATTTGCAACCCCATCTCAAACTTTCGATTTCCACCCCCCCCCCCTCAAACTTTCGATTTGCACCCCCCCCCCTCAAACTTTCGATTTGCACCCCCCCCCCTCAAACTTTCGATTAGCACCCCCCTCCTCATACTTTATATATATATATATACCGAATGGTCTTTGGGGGGGGGGGATTATGACCCCCCCCCCTAACCCCCCCCCCCCTGCCTACGCCACTGTCGCGACGCCTCTGTCGATTATGTTCAACCTAATCTCTGCCTTATTCATAGAACTAAACTCATCATACCATTGTATTTTTCCTTTCAATTCTATGAGAAACATAGGTCCTCTTTCAAAGTTTTTCACTCCCCATGGTCTCCTGTGAAACTCTTCAGCTGTTCCCAATTGATTTCGGCCCCCTTCGGTACGCTACGTTGCCACTCCTTCCTGGGTCGACCCCTGCGTCGCTTGCCCAGGGGGTTCCACCCCAAGCCCTGTCTGGTTCTATTGCCAGTGCACCTCTGAAGCATGTGCCCAATCCATCGCTATTTCCTCTCCATGATTTGCCTTTCTATTGTTTCCTGTCCACACATCTCTCTTAGTTTCTAATTATCTATCTTATCTTTTCATTTTATTTTTAATAAACTCCTTAAGCACCTATTAACAGATGTCTGGATTCTTTTAGTTGTAGATTACACAGTCAGTTTTCTAGTATGTTTGTGTTAGTGGTCAAACCGCACTCAATTTCGAATTAGCCAGATAAGTCCATTTCCTATAACAGCTAAACAAATATTTAAGTTTTAGTTAAATAGAGA